CTTCAGGAGATTGCCAGTCATGGGGTCTCAAAGGAAATTTTATTTTGAGTCTTATATTTAATTTGGCTGGGGATAGTAGAAAAAATTCAGATATAAATTCTAAAGGAAGAAGTTTTGTGTGTGTGTGTGTGTGTGTGAGTATACACATTTCTTATGTTTCCTTCTTCCAGAAACAAAATTATTCAATAAAGATGACAAACTGTGGGAAAGAGAGTGGTACAATTATAGTCCTCATTAATCTGACATGCTAATAAGAAGCAAATAAGCATGGGAAAAACTTCCATCTTATCAAATTCCCATTACTTCAGCCTGAAGAACAATCATTTCACTGGTTTGACCAAGGGTATTCTTCATATACTAAACCATGTCATAAAATTTGGAGCTGTTGTGTTTTAATCAAAGAGTTAAGTCCAATTAAAGAGTTACGTATATTTGGTCACTAGTGCAAATGTTTTCTTGGAAGCCTACTATTCTGCATAGTTAGTGTTTTTTTAAATTTGTAGACTTTTGCCTACAGTGAAATCTGACTCCAGCCTTTGGAATGAAAAATCCATTTCACAATCAGTTTGACCAGCAAAATCACTTTATTTATTTATTTATTTATTTATTTCTGGAATATCTACCAAAAAGAAGGGCCAAATATAATAATGCAGTTTTTTTTTTTTGGCATCTGGCCAGTATGGGGAACCAAATCGTTGACCTTGGTATTGCAAGGCTGCACACTAAACAGCCAGCCCTAAAAATGTAATTTTTACATTGTAATTTCCATTATTTAAGCTGCGTGTCAATTTTGAGATGATAATGTTTCAGGAATGAGACAGCACTGTGCTTCTTCATATGGTCTGGAAGGTGGTAAACAAGCGTTTCCCCATCTAAGCATAGTAGTTTCCTTCCTTTATGCCTCAAGCCAGTCTTTGAGACGCTACACTTCAAAACACAGCTTTTCTTCATTCATTTTAATGGGTAGCAAGGAGTTTGAAATTTTTAGGTTCAGAATCTGATACAGTCTTACTCTGACCTTTCTCAGCATGCTAAACACCCTCCAGTCCTCTGCACTGGAGTGTGGCGAGCAGAGCTGAATTCTCATCAATCCCATACAGGAAAGCAACACATCTGATCTACTGAATAGTTTCAAGCCACTGCTTCAATAATTCAAAACATATAGTTGCAGTCCATTTGCTGCAAATGGTGGCTGCATCAGTGTCTATAATCTGGTGCATTGACTATTCATTCAAGCAAGAACTGATCCATATCTTCCATATTACAGATACTCAATTATCTTATGTCACTACCTTAATGTACAGGAAGGATGTAGAATTTTAGCAAATCCTCTTCAGAAAAAAAGTTAGATAGATTGTAACATTATTCCCTATTATAACTTAGGAGGAATTTACTCTTTTTAGCTAGGAGAATTGTTTGGAATCATGAGCCAAAGCCAGTTATATTTCCGAGATGCTAAGACAATTTGCAAACAACTTCATGTGAATGAAGACACCACAATGATCACAGAGTACTTTCCATTGCAAAGCAACTATTTGAATTTTGAGAGAAATTTTTAAAGAATAATGGCTTAATTTAAAAACATCAAGTCACCCTGTGAAATAGATAAGAATTTCCATGCTTTTTTTTAAAAAAGAAAGATCAGAGCTTTAAATTCCAATGCAGTTCAGTTATCAACTTAAAAAAATAGTAAATAACAGAAGCAGCAATTTGAAGCCAAAATTGTAATCTTTGGCTTTAACCTCACTAAATGAAACTCAGTGCTTATCCATGCTCATTACCAAACTTATCCTGATAACTCTAATTTTCTTGTGTCTATTTCCCCTGAATTTATCTCCAGTGGTAGCCTCTGGTATTAGTTTCAAATCTTACTCCTTCCTTCTTTTACTTCCAAAGCACTAGCCAGGCCTTGCTGAATTCTCATCAATCCCATACAGGAAAGCAACACATCTGATCTACTGAATAGTTTCAAGCCACTTCTTCAATAATTCAAAACATATAGTTGCAGTCCATTTGCTGCAAATGGTGGCTGCATCAGTGTCTATAATCTGGTGCATTGACTGTTCATTCAAGCAAGAACTGATCCATATCTTCCATATTACAGATACTCAATTATCCTATGTCACTACCTTAATGTACAGGAAGGATGTAGAATTTTAGCAAATCCTCTTCAGAAAAAAAGTTAGATAGATTGTAACATTATTCCCTATTATAACTTAGGAGGAATTTACTCTTTTTAGCTAGGAGAATTGTTTGGAATCATGAGCCAAAGCCAGTTATATTTCCGAGATGCTAAGACAATTTGCAAACAACTTCATGTGAATGAAGACACCACAATGATCACAGAGTACTTTCCATTGCAAAGCAACTATTTGAATTTTGAGAGAAATTTTTAAAGAATAATGGCTTAATTTAAAAACATCAAGTCACCCTGTGAAATAGATAAGAATTTCCATGCTTTTTTTTAAAAAAGAAAGATCAGAGCTTTAAATTCCAATGCAGTTCAGTTATCAACTTAAAAAAATAGTAAATAACAGAAGCAGCAATTTGAAGCCAAAATTGTAATCTTTGGCTTTAACCTCACTAAATGAAACTCAGTGCTTATCCATGCTCATTACCAAACTTATCCTGATAACTCTAATTTTCTTGTGTCTATTTCCCCTGAATTTATCTCCAGTGGTAGCCTCTGGTATTAGTTTCAAATCTTACTCCTTCCTTCTTTTACTTCCAAAGCACTAGCCAGGCCTTAATTTCCCCTATGAATCTTTATTTTTTCCCCGTTTGTTTTTTAAACACTGCTTCTAGAAGCCTTTATTATTAGATAAGTCACTTAGAAATCCAGGTTTTTATAGATCTGTTGTATTGTGGATTTGAATATTTTAGAAGTATCTATGTTTTAGGAATTTTTTTTTTTTTTACCAAGATACAGATTCATACAGACTTGAAGTTGCAGGTAGAAGTAAACTTACAATCCAGTCACACTACACATTATTATTTTAAAACTTATCTTGAAAAAACTTAAGATGACTACAAGTTGCAAAAGTATTACAAAAATATTCTGGGCATCCTTCACCCAGCTTTCTCCAAAAACATTTTACATAATCATATTAAATTATCAAACCAGGAAATTGCTCTTGGTATAATATTATTAACTAAACTACAGAGCTTGTTCAAATTCCATCAGTTTTTACAGGCACTTCTTTCTTTATGCTTTTGTGTCTGTGTGTGTGTGTGTGTGTGTGTGTGTGTGTATAGTTCTATGAAATTTTACATGTGTGTAGATTTACATACCCACCTCCACAATAAGGATACAAAACTGTCACCACAAAGAAAGTCTCTAATGCTAACCTTTTATTGTCACACCCTCTCCCCAGTCCTAACCGCTGACAACCACTGATTCGTTCTTCATTAGTATAATTTTGTCACTGAGTGTTATAAAAATGGAATCCTACAGTATGTAACCTTTTGGGACTGGCTTTTTTCTCAGCATAATGCCCTTGAGATCTATGTTGCAGTGATAATAGCTTGTTTCTTATTGCTGAGTAGTTTCTGTTGTATGGACAGTTTGTTCATGTGTTCACCTATAGAAGGACATTTGGGATGTTTCCAGTTTTTGATTATTACAAATTAATCTGTTATGGAATTTGCATACCAATTTTGGTGTGAATGTAGTTATTTTCTTATGACAAATATCCAAGACTGTAATTACTAGGCTGTTTGATAAGTGCATGTTTAACTGTATAAGAAACTACCCAACTTTTCCAGAGTAGTTATACCATTTAAAATTCTCCCCCAATGTATCAAAGATCTAGTAGTTAGTTCCACATCCTTGTCAGCACTTGGTTATTATCAGTATTTTTCATTTCAGTCATTCTTATGGCTCTGTAATGATAACTTATTGTGGCTTTACTTTGCGTTTCCCTAATGGCTAATGACATCGAACATCTTTTAGTGTGCTCATTTTCCATCTGCATGTCCTCTTTGGTGAATAGCCCGTTCAAATCTTTTGCCCATTTCTTAATTGGATTTTTTGTTCTTTTACTGTTGAGTTTAGAGAGTTCCTTAAATATTGGTCACACAAGTCCTTTGTCAGACATGTAATCTTTAAATTTTTTTCCCAGTGAGTGGTTTGTCTTTCCATTTTCTTTTTCCTTTTTCTTTTTTTGTATTCCCACCTTTATTCTATCTATAGATGTTGGAATGATGGGAGATCATACAATTGAAAGTCAGCAATCTTCATCTGTTCATGATAAAAGGGTTCCTCAGGAACAAGCTACTAAGCACCATCTCGAGGGGGCATTTCATCAAGATTAAGAAGGTGTTCTTCTTTTGTGCAAAGGAGATGGCAGGCATTGGTCTACTGATGTTCCTTTTAATAAAACTGTATCACTCCTCTAATACATGATTTCTTCGTATACAGGCCTGTATCAGTCTGTGGGGCTGAGCACTGTCACACTAATCACCCTGCTTTTGAGAAATGTACTCCTGTGAGCCAAAGCCCCCTTAAAGAGATGCTGCCAGGTTGCAGTTTTCATGTACATTTGCATACTCTTACAAACCAGTTTTGGAGGCTGGGAAGTCCATGGTTCAGGGGGCACACATCAGTTGGGCCTTTTTCTGGGTGGGAACTCTCTACAGGCTCCTGTGGCAATGCAGGTAATCACATGGAGAGAATGGGAAGAGCTCTCCCCCCCCCCTTTTTTCTTTCTTTCTTTCTT